TGTGCTTTTGTAGGTAGAGCACATGTACTGTAGTTAATAATAATAATAATAAATTTTTTAAATCGTAAGTGGAACTGTTACAAGTCAGGGGCCATCTGTATTATTGTTACCTCCACTTCCACCACCATCATCGCCATCACTAAATTTTTTAAATCGTAAGTGGAACTGTTACGTGTCAGGGGCCATCTGTATTATTGTTACCCCCACTTCCACCACCATCATCGCCATCATATCACCACCATTACTCTCGTATAACAAAGCATCCAGTTGTATTCCGTAAAGGCCTCTCGTGCTCCGTCCCGCGAGTGTAGCAGTGGAGACGTACACACACAGCGAGCATGCGCGTGCAGCAGGCAGTACAAACCGGCAGCCCATTGGCGGAGTCTGCATGCTCTGTTGGACCTGTACAATATTTTAAAACTTGCGTTTTACATACAAACCAAAATTGCTTGCCTTATCTTCTCGAGTGGTGAATAGAGCGAGGGTAAGATTTCCCAGGGGAAGCGTGTGGGTAAAAAGATGAGAAGGCACACGTGGAAGCGTGAAGAACCTGGCGTGTAAGGGATGGCTGGAGCCCGAATGGCTGAGAGGGACCAGGGAGAGAAAATGTCCCTAGGAGCGGGGAAGAGTCCAGAATCAAGAATTGCAGGAGGACCCCTGAGCCGTATGGATTGGATTTAGCAAAAAGGAGGCTGCTGGGGATTTTGTTGCTGGAATTTGGGAGTATTGGAGGCACAGGCAGGATTGTAGAGGACTGATACAGAAGTGGAGAAAGGGAGTGTAGCAAACGTTTCCCAGAAGATTCGGGAGGAGAGCTGGGGAGGAAAAGAAGGAATGTGGACTGGGGTCGGGATAGGGACTGTGATGAAAAGGAGCTGTCTTCCCCTTTTATTTTTTAATAAAAAAATTATTCTTTGTTTAATTTTATTTATTTTTATTTTTTAATTTGACCAAAGAGAGAGAGAAATAGTCAAAGAGCAAGCCTCCAGGTCCTGGACTAGGGGCCATGTGGGAGTCCAGCACCTCGACCACTGCACCATCTGCCGGCCCCGGCTTTTCTTAAGCCAAGAGAGCATTCAGTATATTGACATACTGATGGAAGAGGTCCAGGAGGCAGAGAAGTGAGCACAGGGAGAGAGGAAACAGTGACCCTGAGGGTGAGGGGGCAGGTGACAGGGAGCCAAGCTTGGTGGAGGTCTCTACCTCAGCTAAGAAAAAAAAACACTTGCTCCGCTGTGACAAGAGAGAGGGTCGGCCAGCTAGTTAGTGCCCAAGACAGAGCAGGACTCAGTAATTCATTCAACAGGTATTCATGGACCGTCTACTGTCTACCATGCATAATGCTAGCAATAAAGAAAGCAGACAAAAACCCCTGCTGACATTCTGGTCATAGGAGAGAGATGATAACAAAATAGGAAAAAAATGTGTATGTTATACAGAAGCAAGACACACTATAAATAAAAATAAAGGGGAATCAGAGCACTGAAGGTCGGTGCTGCAGTGTTAAGTAGGATGGCCAGGGTAGGCTCCCCTAGAAGGTGGTGTTTGACCCAAGACTTGAAGACGGTGAACGAGCGAGCCTGGGGAGCAGGTCATCAAGGCGGGCACATGCCCAGATGCAGGAGGTGACATTGTTGTAGCAGGGCGTGCCAGGGGCATTTCCAAGAGATACAGTCACAGGGGCCAGTGAAGAGGCAGTCAGCTTTTGATTTAACGATTTTTTAAGAGGTTTTTACCTTAGGACACATGTGCTCTCAGGGAAA